GGGGGGGGGGAGGGGCGGGGGATATGATTGGTTCCAACCAATTAAGCCTTATATTAATGTGTAGAAATCCATGAGGCGCGAGCAATCGAACAACTCGCAGTGACCGTATAAAGCAGTGTGACCACTGTCCAAAAGACAAAGGTAAACAATTTGTTGTTACGAATATGTCAATTTGACGCTCTTCCCTTGTTGTCTGACCTTCAGACTCGAGCCTTTTATGGCCGGTCTCTGCTAACGGTCAGCTATCAATGACAACACTCTTGAGTAGGGTTAAAAAGCAAATGATGCACAATTATCAGAAGAAACACTGAGAAGCTAGTTCGAAAACGAAGACGAAGCTACCCAAGTGTATTCAACAGACCCACCGAGACTACCTTCGCCCTCATCTCCTCATGCCAGGAGTATACCCAGTCTCATGCCCCCCCACGCTGAGTTACAGGGTGACACGATCCGCCCCAGCTCCGACCTTCGTCGTCCTGATGGTAGTTCGTAGTGGCCACTCGAATGCCTTCCACCCTCGACAATTCCCCAGATCTCTCTACCAGGCCTCATGGCCCCATCTAACTCGGGTTACGGGGCAGCATAACCAAACCCCAGCACCGGCCAGCGCTGTTTTGGCTTCGTCCATCTATAAACTTAAGAAATGACCAAACCCCAGCACAGGCCATCCGATGAACTGCTAACCCCCCTAGAATCAATCGACCTCTGTTCTAGACTGTCCAGCTCCTTCTGACACTGGACAGGCTCAGCAGAGTCAGCACCCAAAAGGGCCAAAACCACCCAATGGCACCCATCAGCCCCCTTTTCCCCTTTCCGGCAGGACGTACTACAGTTGAAGTTGTTGAACCACCGTCTCTGCTGCTGCTATGCCCTATTCCCATCCTACCAGCTAGCCCTCCTCACCAGCCGGACCCGTGATTACCATTGATCTAATTCCCCCTCTTAAACAACCCGCCCTCACCTTTATCTGTGCATCTCTAACACAAAAAAAGCGAGCCGGGAAAGAACAGTCTCCCGAGAATAAAACTGGTGTGCTTCCACCCGCCAACTGAACATAATAAGATCCCCTACCAAGAAATTCACTGATGATAAAGGAATTAGCAATTCAGAGTACAACACCGGCAGGTAGAGCCTCCTAATGAACACCCTCTACCTCCACCGCAAGAAGGAAAGGGAGTGAAACCAACCTTTCTCCCCATGGAGGTTCCACCGTTCCGGCATACAGTGGAGACTCGACTGCACGTAAAAGAGCTCACAATCAACCCCAGGATTACTCCCTTCCCTTAGAAAACAACCCCCCTGTCCCTACTCTGCCCCCGCCAGTAAGAGCTCCTTTCTCCTCACCGGCCCCACTTCAGGACAGCCCCCTAAACGGTCACCCCTACTCCCTCAACGGCATACAATTCCCCCTAGAGCATACCCCAGCAGAGCAGAAGTTTCCGCATTCCCTCCTGTACCACCCCGTCCAAGTGAAACAGCTCACTCAACCTCTCACACTGCTCACACACAGTGAATCCAGCACTTCACCCCTAAGGCTTGTCCTCTCTGCCCCAACGGCCATGACTGATCCGACCCCAAAGATCACCCCAGCACCAGAGGAGGAAACACCCTCCTCTCCGCCCCTCCCTTTCATTGACAAGGACAATACACCTCCCACATTGTGTAGCCCTCGCAGGAAGAATTTCCAACCCTAAAAAGAGCACTCCCAATCGGAGTCCATGAACTCACCTGCCTTAAACATCTTTCAAATTGAACCGTTCCCCTGGGAGTGAACACCTCGACAACCCCCTGAGGCTCTCGAGTCTCGATAAAGTCATTGTAGGCTTTGTAGCACCAATGAACCAATGTTGAATTAAACGCTTTGGAGAACCCCACTAGAATCAACCTTTCAGGATCAGATTTCGGAATCTCAATCCAGAAAATAGGCGACTACAATCATGACAAATAACGTTGTAATGAATCCGAATGACAGCAATATGAAACCTAAAAATTAAGCCAACATCAATGAGTTTACCAATTCATGAATTCAATACGAGTGTCCCATCATTAAACCACCAGTACTTGGCCCAGCTATCGGCGGCCGAAAATATAGAGTAGAAACGTTTCTAGTCAGATGAATTTGGCCGCTCGTGTAGTGGTCCGTACGTTTCCTAAAATCGTGGCTTGTTAACGGCCACAACTCTAGGAAGTACTGGTGGTATAAGCCTCAAGGACTTTTTTTTTCTTTTTCTTTTTTTTTTAACTTCATAGCAGACAACACTTACCAAGGTGATATGAACAACCCAGGCCTGGGAAGTGAGCCTGCTGGGAAGGCTATATCTATTGGTGGGGACACTGGGGAGGGACACCTCCTCGAAAACGGGTCCGGCGTCCCTGATACTACAGAATGCTTGGCTTTGAGTTCAGAAGATTAATCTTAGTTCTAGGGGTAAAAAGTCACCTCTTCAGCTTTCTTTTCACTATCATTAAGGAGTTAGGAATACAAAAGATCAGGATTTAATTTAATTATCCTGATCATTTGGGAACGTATTTGAGACGAGTAACTAGGAATAGGAAATTAATCGGAGGTCATAATTTTACTCAACTGAGCCCTTGGGGTCCTTTGGGGATTCAAACTTTGGTCCGTTTATGAACAGTTCAATGCCGCTTGGGCTTGGTTTCTTTGTTTTCCTCAAGTGTCAAACTTTGTTCGAGCTTTGACTGACAGTGAATAGTCGGTGATTGGTTGCGGCATGGTGCTGTTGCAGTTTACTGGTGGTTTCTGCAAACCCCCTTTTTATGGAGTTGTGACTGAGCATTTGGGGCAGGAGACGCTTCGGGAACTTCTCTCCCGGAAAAGACCCCGTCTACCCCCTTTGAAGAGGGCGCTGATGATGGCTCAAGACGTCGCAGCAGGGGTGGCCTACATTCACAGCCAGGGTTTCGTTATGGGAGGGCTGACGTCAGAGATCCTCTTCGTCACAGCAGATAGGCACGTGAAGGTTCGGGCACTATCGACCACAATTACCATAGAACACCTCGCTGTCCTCCTCCTCATTTCCCTTGCCCCTGGCCTTCTCCCCTACCTCGCTCCTACCTTTATTGACTATTTATTCTGATTTTTCTTTTGCCGTATTTTGTTCCTCTGGTGGCTAGCGTACCCGAAGAACGATGTGGTTGGTCCGTCTGTATCAGGTACTCTCTGCCCCAGTTTTTTTTATAAACTTCATTATAGGCAAAGGCCGCAAAGCTTATCTTTGCATGTCTGGAATCATACGCAGACTCGAGGACAGGACAAATCTACGTCAAACGAATTTGTATTGTTCAACGGACTGCTCTTCCTTGGGAAGGCCGGGAATAAATGATGGTGAATCTTTGCATAGTTTGCTTCTAGGAGAGTGCCATGACATGACAGGACTTTTTGGGTATAAGAACACCTCGGTGAACCTAGTGCAGCGTTTTGGGTGGCCGACAATTTCTGGAGGATGCGAAGAGGTATGTAAAAACTTACTAGGTTTGCCAAGGGGACAAACCTAGGACTAAAGCACCGCTCCATTTGGTCAAGCCTTTGCCGAAATTGCCGTTTCCCGCTGGACGGGGACGGAACCTCTCCATGAATACTTCGGTGACCACCAAATCAAGAAAAAGGCACATATTTATGATGATCGACAGACTTTCCAAATACGTTAGACTAATTGCGCTCCACGAAACTGCAAAGACAGACTACATGATGAAGATGTTTATGGACAACTGGGATAAGGATCTTGGGTGGAACACGTTAGACTAATTCCGCTCCCCAAAACTGCAAAGACAGACTACGTGATGAAGATGTTTATTGACAACTGGGATAGGGATCTTGGGTTACTGAAGTCCACAGTTAGCGACAAAGATGTCAGATTTACAAGTGAGTTGTGGAAGAAAACTGGAGAAAATGGGTTCCCAGTTGCAGATAACATTTAGGAATCACTCGGAGACTAACAGGCAAGCTGAACATATGAACAGGGTAGTACAACACCTGCTGAGGCACTATATTAAGCCCAACCAAGAGGATTGGAATGAGAAACTCCCTCTCATCACCAGCCTGTACAATAACGTTGTTCGGAGCACTACTGTGTGAACGCCTAATCAGTTGAGCTTAAGTTGGAAGCCTAAGACCGCGTTAGACCTCTCCTGCTTGAGACTAGACAGTCTGTAGCATGAGGAAGCATCAAATTTTCCATAGGAATATGACAAAATGCTGCAGCAGATAGTGGAACAGATTCAGAAATCTCATATGCCATGATAGCATCTGAGAACAAACCAAGGAGAGAATCAAAGCTCTAGGTAGGGAAGCGCATTTGGGTTAAGTCTTCGGAGTCTCAGACAAACTGCTGCCACAGTATTTTGGGCCATGGCAAGTCCTTAACATCGTAGGTTTACACCCAGATGGCCCATCATATGTGATTCGGAGTTCACCTCACCTATGTACTTACCAGTCTCTTATGTATCCAAATCACAAAAAACGGTGAGTTTCCTTCAAGGAGATTGATGTTGCCCCCAACCATCGACAGATATGTTGACATCGACGAGATCATGGAGCATAAAATCATGCCAATTCCGAAGACTATGTGAATAGGAAGAGAGTGGAAACCCCAGGTGCAGTTCCGGATCAGATTCAGGCATCAGGATGATAAAGTAAAGCATGAAGTGGTTTGAGGGCTTACTGAGACAACTTCCGAAGTAGAGGAGGAGGGAGTTCAAGGCATGAGGCCCTCGGCCAAGGTTGGAAAGGGCCTGCGCTCACTGGAAACTGTGTGCGCTAGCCCTACGTGAAGGTGTTCCCCTGGAAAACTCAATGAGGGTTGTGATGAGGCTGATGTGAGGATGTAGGGCCTCGTGGGTTCGTTGCTGCACGCAGCATCGCAAACTGAGTGGTAGGCCCGATCAGTTGAAGATGCTGGGACCAGCAAAGATGCCGAGGCCCAGGGCACATACAGTTGAGCCTCAGGCACATTTTGGAAGGGCCCTGGGCGGAGCTACTGGAGTCTGGGACACAGGCTGACCATCCAGAGCCTACCTCGCCCAACCAGCCAAGGCACAAAAGGGAGGGAGGTCTCTCACTTCAAGACATTCTGGCTGGCTCAGCCTGGATGGCAGCATCGTTGGCTTGCTGGACAAAAAACGGGCAGACTGAGGAAGGGAGCTGGCAGGGTGCTAGGAAGAAGCTGCGAGGTTGCAACCTGGATGCACCAGCCATAGCCTGGGTTGTTGAGCGGCGGTCCTTGGGCAAGGGACAACGTGGGGAAGTCAGGGGATGAGTGAGGCATGTGGGCGCTTACCTGGTGGTGGAGTCTTCATCCTTCATTGGGCTGCTGGACTTCATGAAGACTCGTTGCCAACTTGCCGTCGCTCTAGAGTATAGGTGATAGGTGTTGCCCAACTGTAGTTTGAGCGTCAAACACCATATAGGAGAGCGACATTCTGGACCTTGACAGGAAGTCATATAGGAGAGAGTGTTCATTGACAGAGTGTTCATTGACAATTGACTTCCGAATCGCTGTTCTGCTCTTGCTTATTTGGTGTACTTTGTAATGCAATCTGCGTTCAGTTCGTGCACATGGCTCTTCAGATTTCTATGGAATGATGCAATTTGGTTTCTTTCACTCACTTTGTCAATTTTCCTTGCACAATAAACAGTCTAGGTAGATTACTGTCACTACCTATCGCAGTCAATTATGGACTAGCAGTTCCCTCATCGAACTAATCAAACAGAAAAGAAATAATGTGTTACCAATGTGCGAGGGTTTACCCCTCGGCATAAGGCCCTGCAGCAGGCGCATGCCCGCCCTAAGTAAAGGCGGGCACCCTGAATCGCAATGTGCCCTGAACTCGTCAATTTTTGCAAATCTTGGTGGGCGCCAGACAGTTGCCACGCACCAGTTGGTTACATCCGCTTTGCTCGCGAGAATCAGAAATATGTGTGAGCCTTCCTGGCTCTTCCAGCATCATGGTCAAAACAGGGAGCACCACACGTTTGTGCCTGGGGAGTTGGCATGCCCAACCAATTCGGTCCCAGGCCACTGTCTGAAAGGGCGTGGGACGCACACACTTTGGCAGAGACTGAAGCTACCGGAAACTTGAGCCCGACATGGCAAACGGGTGTCAATACGCCTGCCACTTTCGATATAGGATATGGGCGGTGCCGGGACTGGTGAGTCCCGAATGACTTCCCGTCACTCGAGAGACTGTATATGAACAGCAGGGGCGACCCCTTCCCCAAGGACGGAGAGGGGCCGCCGGGAAGTCGGTAGTAGCATCGGAGGTGCGCAACAAGGGAAGGATCGAAGTGGGAAGGGACAGGGCGCAAGGCGCTGACGCAACGCGGCGGCAAGAGGGCCAGGGAGACTGCAGGGAGGTGGGAGCCGGCACCCGGAACGGAATAGCATGCGGGACGCAATAGGAGCGGGGAGCGGAGGTCGCTGTAAGGCAGAAAAACGTCAGGGGCACCAAAGGAAAGACGTGGTATAGGCGGGGCAGGAGTGTCGGGGACCACATAGGATCGAAGGACAAGGCGGTACCAGCAAGACAAAGCGTCGGGGACCACGCGGGACCAAGGGACGGCGTGGTGCCGGCAGGACGAAGTACCGAAAATCGCGTGAGACCAAGGAAAAGACGTAATGCAGGCAGGCCGAAGTGTCAGCGACCGCGTGGGCCTAGATAAAATGGCGGCACCAGCGGAACCACTAGCAGATTGGGTATCGACGGAATAAAAAGTGTCAGGAGCCACCGACAGGGATTGTCGACAGAACGGAGAAGACGGGCGCGAGGCGGGAAAAACGGAGGGCACCAGGGGCAACCCAAGGGGGTCCTTGATCAAGTGCGACGACAACAGAAATAAAGTAGCATGACGACAGCTGGACGGGACCAGCCGGGCCGGGGAGTCCGGATGAAAACGTTAAGTGCCGCCACGGCAAGCGCCGGCGGGAGGTGCCGAGGGGAAAGAAAAGATGGAGTAGCAGCAGTAAGGGGGGGCCGGCCAACAGTCCGAGTATCCTGGACCAGCCAGGCCAAGAAAAACGAAGTTTCGAGGGCTCCACGTGGAAAAAAGGGCTGGTCAGAGAAAATCGGAGCAAGGGGGTCGCAAACTAGAGGCGGCGGCAACAAAAAGGAGCCCCCTTTGGCCTTGGGGGTGCCACTACTGCGGTCCGAGGTGCAACGGCCATATGCCGACAGCAAAATCGGATCTTGGGAAAGGTCCAACAACTAGAAAGAGGAGAAATAGCTGTTGGACACTTGTCCCAACCGTAAACAAGAAAAGAAAGGAGGAAAAGGGTGAGAATGAGACAAAGGAGGAGAAACGAGTGGAGGAAAAAGTGTCCCCAAGTTCGGACTGCAGAGGTAGGGACTGACAGGTCTCAATGATGTCCTCATCCCTCCTAGATCCTAGGAGGGTAGTCCGGATTGCAGAGATAAGGTTCTTGGGGCATTATCTCTGCAATATCTGAATTTTAGCAACAAAAATAAGAAAAAATGCTGATGTGAGTTGGCCGGCTCAATTTTGGGCCCTAGATCTGAAATCTGATCCTGCGGAGGAGGAAATCTAGCCGTTTTTTGTGGGCTGACACAAAACGGTTAGCTCCGGAATGAGTTGGCAGCAAAATGGAGGGAAAACAAAGAGAGGAACAAGACAAAACTGCGAATTTGGCCCAAGGTCTGGACCAGGTACATCAAAAAAATTGAAAATAGGAGTAAAAGACTCTAATTTGGAGCGAGGAAGCTTGAGAGTAGCTCTGAATAATGAAAACCATGGATCTCAGCCAAATCCAAGGCTAAGATTTGTGCCGCCACTTGGAAAAATGTAACGGCCTACTCACAAGAGGCCTAGATTAGGAAAAAAACGAAAAACGGGCCTCAAGACCCTCAAATTTTGATAAAGGCTGCATTTTGGGGTAGTGGTAGCCAAAAGGCAACACTTTTTGAAGGGAAAAGATACCCGGGTAAGGCCAAGGGGTGGTCCGAGAGG